CTATTACTACATTTCCTTTCCAGAAATACTGAACCTTCTATAGTTCCAGTTTACTACCGTTACTCCCCAAAACTATTACTACATTTCCTTTCCAGAAATATGAACCTTCCTATAGTTCCAGTTTACACCGTTACTCCCCAAAACTATTACTACATTTCCTTTCCTAGAAGTATGAACCTTCCTATAGTTCCAGTTTACTGCCGTTACTCTCCAAAACTATTACTACATTTCCTTTCCTAGAAGTATGAACCTTCCTATAGTTCCAGTTTACTACCGTTACTCCCCAAAACTATTACTACATTTCCTTTCCTAGAAGTATGAACCTTCCTATAGTTCCAGTTTACTGCCGTTACTGCCCCCAAAACTATTACTACATTTCCTTTCCTAGAAGTATGAACCTTCCTATAAATCCAATTTACTACCGTTACTCTCCCAAAACTATTACTACATTTTCTTTCCTGGAAGTATGAACCTTCCTATAATTCCAGTTTACTACCATTACTCTCCTTATGAATATTAATAATTGTTACACTGAGCTGTTTATAATCTCCAGTACGTTATATTATATATATCACATTTTATGTATGTACAGGTAATGTCTTCCGGAATGCTATCTATTGATTTACAGAAGTCTATTCGTATTACTATTTTCTGTACTGCCATTTTGTAAGTCAAAACACCACGAAAACATTTTTTTTTCTCCATTTAGTTTACGGTTATATTTATCACAATTAATTCATAATTGAATCTCGCTTTTATGGTACTATCTCCCGACATCTAAAGTTATTTTATTACATTTTTTTGTGATTATATAGGTATAATACAGGCCTAGTATCTTTAATAGAAGAGAAGCCTCGATGATAAATCGCCTTCTGGTTATCGCATTATTTATCTTCATTTGATGAAAATACGCTATTTGCTTACCAACATGAGCTGTATATTTAGGTTTGATACCGTGCTGCCCTCTGATGGAAACAAGTAATCTATTTAACTTATTTCTTTAATGATAATAGCTTGACCTTTATAAATGCAACCATATTACAGTTAGACTAGAGGAGAATGGACTATGGCGAATAAGACCTAAGTAAGAGTATGATGATGCACGTGGTCCTTTAAAGTCTTATTTCACCAGAGTCTATTAAGAGTGGAAAGTATCTCCCATGAGAAAAACTGTGACTCGAAATGGTGAAGGTTTCACACTCAATAAAAAAAAAAGAAACCAATCATTCTATAGGTATTTGAAGAACCTATAGCGTTTCGCCACAATTTAATTCTTCGACACACCCCAATCAAAGAATAGACCATTCCAAATTTTTACTTATTGTTAAACAATGTTTAAACAATTCTATTCAAAACTGTGACTATTAAGGACTGGGGAAACCAGAAGAAAAAATCTGTTAAGTACAACATACAAGAATCTGTGTTCTAATTGGTGATTTTATCCCAAGGAGTCATGATTCAATTATCTTCAACCATAATAAACAATAGTTTGTTGTACCCAATGATAACAAATTAACCTGATGAAACGTTGCAACCATAGATATTATACTCTGTGTGTCCTACAATAAACACATTTTAAATATCTTCAACCACACCATGTGGAAGGCATCAAACAAATGTTAAAAAGAGTCCAAACTGTCCATCTCAAATGCAAGCAGGAAAATATGTCTTTAGTGGTGTTTAAGACGTAAACTATTACTAAAAATGTCTAAAAATGTGTGTGGTGATCGAATGAATCGTTTTGCACCACTTTTTAGTACTGACAATAAGGTAGAAGTCAGGAGGAAATCGAGGAGACTGTGTGTTGTTCTACCAGTGAAAGGTACTTAAGGTGCTGTAATGGTGTGAGTATGGGTGCTTTGATTCCTTTGGAAAAAAAGATTAACACCCAGCGTGTACGTGACTAATATTGAAGATCAGGTCCATACCATAATAGTGGACAGTGATGGATAATGGCTTTTCCAAAAATGATATTGAAACAGTTCACAACGCTCGTAATGTCCAAAATTGTTTCGAAAAGTGTTGAACTGACTTTTAGTCATATTTGTTAGCTAGCACAACCATCCTGTTTATCACCATGTTCTTA